ATATATCTTAAATTATTAATTATCTATAACGCGCACACATTTATAGAAAGTGTTTTGGCGTCCAAAATTTTGACTCGTTCCGATATTGTTAATGTTTGCCGACGCGTATCTCGTTCTTTCGACCAGACGTTTTATTTCGTTTTTTTTTTCTTGACTTTCATACGCACCGACTGCCAGTCTAGACGAGTAATTGAAGAAACAAAGGGGATGCAATTATATGCTTCTCGCAATTATCGCGTTGCGTCTGCGCGCTCCAACAAACATGGCGACCGCGCTGCCGTGCCACCGGCCATTGACTCGCGTTTTTGATGAAATCATTTTGTGCACAAACACGTTTGATCTTGACATCGACAATTATATATTGCATATACGCGCATTAAATTTAATTTATGCTAGAAAATAGTCTATATAGGCTTACAAATTGTTGTTGTGTTTACCCGAGTCGAAATTAGCGTCTACATTGAACCTCAATTTTTCTTTTTTTATGTAGGAGTAAGAGAGGAAGTAGATCCTACTTTGACGCTGCTATACGTCCGAAATTTCCTTTTTTCCTACTAAAGTTTTAAAGTAGGGTTTAATTCTCAGATCAGGCTGCGCATTGCAGGCTTTGATAGGCTCAAAATAGGCTCAGATGGGCTCAAAGTAGGAGTAAGAAAAAAAGTAGATGCTACTTTGACGCTGCTATACGTCCGAAATTTCCTTTTTTCAAAAATTGAGGTTCAATGTAGACGCTAAATTTTGACTCGGGTAAGAATCGATTAAAATATACGCTAGCATACATGTTTTTTGTTTTTTTTATTCTGTTTTTTATTCAGCAAACCGGCACAAGAGGAAACTTATCTCAGAGCATTACTAATCATTAAACGGTGTGCAGTCGCGTGAAAGATAATACTGGGGACTGGTTCTCTTATTTCATTTCCGATTCGAGAAGACATTTTCATTAGTCACACGACGCGCTGAACAGAAAGACACTGGCGCTGCCCGGATGACTTAAGGATTGACTCGAGGACTGTCGATTCGTCACTGTCAGCTAATGCAATGTCACGAGCGCCGAGATGAGACGAACGATTATAAAAGTGAAAAATGATCCGCGAAAAGTCTCGGCATTTCGTTCACAATTCCTTTTGGTAGAGACTATATATATATATATGTATATATATGGTCGCGCGTCTATACATACTGTTAAAAACAAAACTACAATATTTTTGATTTTAGGAAGAGTTTATTAACAATAATCTTTTATTTGTTTTTGTTACATCTATATCTTCAGGAAAAAAGAGTTAAATTAATTAAACTCTCAAACATTCAACGATGCAAAATGAGAATAACAAATACAAAGTTGAGAATTTAACATTTTAACATTAAATGTAATATTAAATATACTATTTATAATATATTTATATAATACTATTATATAATACTATAATATTGTATAATACTATATATAATACTATTTATAGTATATTTATATAACATTTTAATATTAAATATGTATGATTATATATAAAATACATTTTTTGGTATAAAAATTTGCATTCTCTATATTACATAATTAGATATTATCAATTTCTTTCATCTTTCACGATCGATATAGATGTTTCCTGATTCGCGCATCAGATTTTTCAAATTCAATCAGTTGCTTTTAGCTGAAATGCACTTGCCGTCCCGAGCCGTCTCTCAAACCGATCGTCTCGGGGGGAGGTTCAAAGGTTAAACAGAAAATGTCGTACACGGCGGCATACCGAGAAAGCGGAGGATACGGCCGGGATGAGAGAAGGAAGAAGCCCCGGGGGCATAGCGAGCCCAAGCTACTGGCGGAAGCTAAGCGCATATTAAAGAGGCTCGTAAAATAATAAACATTCCGCAAGAGTCGCTAATACGTCGGCGAGCCTCAATGTTACCCGCCGGCATGCGGCGGATATAATGAATATACGTTAATGTTAATAAAGGGACATGCGCTGAGAGACATGCCGCCGCGAGACTAGAAGACGCAATTGTGCGTTTTCCAAATGCCAAAGTAGGCGCGAGCTATTTGAAACCCGGGTGTATTCATCGACATCATAAATGCTGTACAACACTTATTCAGAAAACATTTATATATCTATTTAGAAAACTCTATTTGTCCCAGGCAGAATTCAGATTTTTTTCATCTTACGTATCTCCCGATGATGTTTTTCTTGGCAAAGTTTTGGTTGGCTTTGCAAGAGAAAGTTGGGGTTTTCGAATCTCTCAAAAAGATATAGTATTATTTAGTATGAAATAATTTTTACGTAGTAAAAAAAACATTCTTATATATTCTCTTTTGAAATTATTATTCTTATTCTTATTCTCTTTTTTTTTTGACAATAAGAATAATGGGTTGCAAAATTATCGAGCAGTTAATCGCGGTCTTTCCGGCCGCGATTTCAAGATTGAGTGCTCGCTACTGTTGTAGCGGCCGAGGTATTAGAATTGAATCGAATCGAGGTTTTCCCCGAGAGCCAGTTTCCACGGACCAGACTCGCGTCGCCAGTTAAATACCTCTTGTCTCTTTTTTCTTTTCAGTTCAAGAACATAAGCGTAGACACTTGAACAATTTTAAGTAAGTAAAGTACAGGAGAAATCTTTTTTTAAATAAAATGTTTGGCGTTTTGAAGGATACAATTTTTTATTTTATTCGCAAAATTAATGGTTTTTAATGTTTTTAATAGAAACACAACATTAAGTTCAATAAAATTACCAAGTTACATTGCAAATTGCTCAAATATGTGTTTTTTTTTATGGAACAAACATATGTGTTTTGATTAACTGTATAAACGATTTATTTTATTCAACAGCTTTAGAGAAGGTTTATTGTAATATTAATAGAATTAATAATATATTATAAGAAATGTATTATAAAATTTATGATAATAATGTAGGAATTTTCATTGGGTTAAATAAAATAAAATTAGAGATGTTTATAAAATCAAAATTGATGTTTAATATGATACGATATAATATACACAATAATTAAAGTCTTCGCGATAGTCAAGTTCGAAGCGCGCGATTTCTACAGACGTTTTATCTCGTCAACGAATGCGAACCTTCTTCTCGCTCTCAGCATTTATTCGACAAATCGTCAGTTATATTTTCCTCGCTTGAATCTGACCCGTTAACAGACAATAAATACGTTGATCAAGAAAAGGAAAATACTTTGTCATGATGTTTGTCAGGAGAGTCACGCAAATATACAAATTTCGCACGATAAGTTACAACGTGTTTAGAAAAATACTCAGCTTATCCGAGTCGAAATTTAGCGTCTACATTGAACCTCAATTTTTGAAAAAAGGAAATTTTTGACGTATATAGCAGCGTCAAAGTAGCGTCTACTTTTTTTCTTACTCCTACTTTGAGCCTATCAGAGCCTGCAATGCGCAGTCTGATCTGAGAATTGAATCCTACTTTAAAACTTTAGCAGGAAAAAAAGAAATTTCGGACGTACAGCAGCGTCAAAGTAGCATCTACTTTTTTCTTACTCCTACTTTGAGCCTATCAGAGCCTATTTTGAGCCTATCAGAGCCTGCAATGCGCAGTCTGATCTGAGAATTAAATCCTACTTTAAAACTTTAGCAGGAAAAAAGGAAATTTTGGACGTACAGCAGCGTCAAAGTAGCATCTACTTTTTTTTTACTCCTACTTTGAGCCTATCAGAGCCTATTTTGAGCCTATCAGAGCCTATTTGGAGCCTATCAGAGCCTGCAATGCGCAGTCTGATCTGAGAATTGAATCCTACTTTAAAACTTTAGCGGAAAAAAAAGGAAATTTCGGACGTATAGCAGCGTCAAAGTAGAATCTACTCTTTCTCTTACTCCTACATAAAAAAAAGAGGAATTGAGGTTCAATGTAGACGCTAAATTTCGACTCGGGTTAACGAAAAATATAATTCTACAATATACGTATAACTTCGATTCTTACAATAATATAAAAATTATAAAATTTATATATAGATATATAGTATATATATATATATTTATTATATGTACTATATTAAATATAATAATACAAAGTAACAAAAGAGAAATAGTAAATTTGTGCCAACATGTGCAGCTTTGATAATTCTCCACAGTGTCGGCACCCGTGACCGCTCACCTTCTCGTTTTACTTCAGCAACGATCGATTGATTGATTGATTGTTCTGTACAGATGTTAATACGTGTGTATTCACTTCAACTATATAACTCAACCCGCTTTTACCCTAAACGCCGCGGTTGTTGTGCGGTTTTATGCAGCGTGTTTTATTTCGCGGAATCGCGGAAGCCATGATTTGTTCTTATTTATGTGATCGACGCGCATAAAGCATTATAAATTTTCTAACCAGCAGCTCTGTCTCTGTATTATCCGATCGCACACTGACGTACCGTGCAGCAACTTGCGCGATCTCATAATATAACATATTTGTGGCAACTTTATATCGGTATTAACTTTTTGCCTCTTTGCATGATTCGCACATATATACATACATACACACGCGCGCGCGCGCGCGCAAGTATCTTATTACGTCTCTAATAATCTTTCTTTCAATTATCGAAATTCTATCTCCAAGCAATTACGGCAATCACAACACACAGTAGCTAGACGAGTCATCTCGACAGCTCGCAAAATTACTTTTACAATCCCCTTCCCCAGTTTACAATCTCCTTTCACTTTTACGACTTCACGCATTCCTTCTTTCATTCATTTTACTGATATTTTCATAGTTTTCACCCTCGACCTTCCTGATTCCTCTTCATACAACGCGCGCGCGCGCGCGCGAGATGTGAATTCTCTGATGTTTGCCATTTTTCGCGGAATCTTGCGGAAAGTAACACGTCACACCAGTCGACAAGACGATCGTCGGAATTGTCGGAATATGCGACAATTATCGGTGCGACTTTGCCATATCTCGCGCGCGTCACGTGAAGATCTGAACGATCGAGTCTATCGCCACGTTGGACTCGCTCGGCGGCGGCGGCGGTGGCGGCGGCAGCGAGGTGTGCCGCAATGTGTTGCATTCCTTGGCGCTGTTCTGTTTTTAGTCTAGGATTGTCATTCTTTTGCGACACGCGCATTGCTACGCTCTGCGTCCGCTATTCCGCGTGCACACACGGCGCCCGCTTCCAAGCAACGCCAACCATCGAGAGATACGGATTTACGAGCAAATCGGTAAATTCAAGTCATATCGACACTTTGTCACGGTAAATTCACATCCGCACAATAAAGTTTTGTTATCTGCCACTTCAATGTTCATCTGTCACAAAAATAGAATTAAAGAAAACTAACTAGACTATGAGACTTTATACATCCTTAATTCAGCTTATCAAATCTTTGTTGTTTGTTTTTTACTCATTTTACGTAAGTTCTTATTATTTTTATTTGCGACGTTAATGTAAAAAGAGGTGTAGTTATCGGTTTCTGTTTTTGTCGATACGCAATACATAATAAGAAAGAGGAAGAGAGAGAGAGAGAGAGAGAGAGAGAGAGAGACCCTTGGCATGGAGACGGAGGCCAAGTGTCCTCGATATCCTTGCATTGGGAGTAACGAGATGCGTGAAAAAAATAACAATTCGCAACATGCGAGAAAGAAGTTTCTGAGGTATGCGAGAAAAGTTGGGTATTCACTCGATTGGTAGTAGCCTCGCGCCGTCGTCGTCAAACGCGTTCAATATTAATCGAGATGTACGTTACCGTGCGTATATCTCGTTCTTAGATCTCCGAGCCGAGCTTTCGCTTTATCAGAAAAACGCAAGTGCCAACATAATCGATGAGAATTATTCGTTAAATCCGATGACGATCATGTTTTAGCATTTGATGACTAAATTGTTTTTTTAATTTATTTACTCCGCGTATTTGCATAATTTATATATTTATATTATACACATTTGCAAGACTTAGAAAAACTTAAGAACGCATTGTTGTCGAGCAATTGTTATCTATTTGTCATCAATTAAAAATCTAGGTACTTGTAAAAATTTTAAAGTAATCAAACGTAAGAGAAAAAATCATCATTGCTACTTTTTTTTTTACGACTACATCGTCTGTGTGTTTGTAGGACTTAAAAACTTACTTTTAATTGCTACTTCGAAATTTTTGACCGCAATAGGTGAAAATGTGAATGAGACAATAAAAACGATGTCAAGTCGAAGATTCGTCTCCGATTTAAAAAAAAAGAATGTTAAAGACGAGCGAAAAGAGGTCCTAAAATGCGGGGACGACCCAGAGAGAAGCGCTTTTAGCGCTCTCTTATCAGACCTGATCTGATACGGTGACCAATAACAACAACTACCTACCGCAGCGTCTTTGGATTATTGCGCTCCAGTCAACCATTATCAGCTCATTACTACAAACCTCGGCAGCTCATTGAAATTTCGCATTCAAGCGTGTTTGCCTAATTAAAATCGATGTTTACGTTCAACTCGCTGTTGAAACTTGTCATGCTTTTCAGTTTTTTCTATATAAATTCTATTCAGAATTAAAACAGACCTTGTGAGTTATAAATCCATCTGTTGCAGCGAATAATAATTAAAAAAAAAACAGTTCTATTTCCATTTGTGTGTCAGTTCGCGAATTCTATTTTATTCACCCGTTGTATTAGGAATTTAACGCTTATATATGTATGTTTACTATTTTGTCGATTTTCTCGTTGCCATTGAAACGATAATACGAAGAGAAAGAAAGAAAAAAAAAGAGAGAGAGAGAGAGAGAGAGAGAGAGAGAGAGAAAGAGAGAGAGAGAGAGCTAAAAATGGTCATTCCAAACGAAAGAGATGAAAAGCTTAAGAGAGAGCGGAATAGGGGAACCCAGTAACAAGCTGCCATATGGTCAAAGCGTATCTTGCAATTTGTTTGCCAGACATGGCCATTCGTCGACGCGATTCTCCTATCTTCCATGAAGATGAGAAGAGTCCGACTGTGTGGGGATCGCGAATATTGATAAGCCGCCGAGAGAGCGAACAGGCTACCTTGCCTCTTAAGTTTAGTTCATTAGCGGCATCGCAAGCAAGCAAGCAAGCAAGCAAGCATGCGCGCGCCAGATGGACGACGCGCCGCGATTTTACTGACAAATCGTAACAAAATTGTACAAATGTCAACATACGTATATATATTGTACGCTGCTTCTTTCGACTCAAACTTCCTTAAATGCGGAAAAATTAAAACATTCTTGAAGCTAAAACGTCGAAAAATTAATAACAATAATCCCGAGTCGCGAAATTTAGCGTCTACGTTGAACCTCAATTTTTCTTTTTTTATGTAGGAGTAAGAGAGAGAGTAAATCTTACTTTGACGCTGCTTTATGTCCGAAAGTTCTTTTTTTCTTGCTAAAGTTTTAAAGTAGAGTTCAATTCTCAGCTCAGACTGCGCATTGCAGGCTCTGATAGGCTCAAAATAGGCTCTGATAGGCTCAAAGTAGGAGTAAGAAAAAAGTAGATGCTACTTTGACGCTGCTATACGTCCGAAAGTTTCTTTTTTCCTGCTACAGTTTTAAAGTAGGGTTCAATTCTNANATCAGACTGCGCATTGCAGGCTCTGATAGGCTCAAACTAGGCTCTGATAGNCTCAAAGTAGGAGTAAGNAAAAANTAGATGCTACTTTGACGCTGCTATACGTCCGAAAGTTTCTTTTTTCCTGCTACAGTTTTAAAGTAGGGTTCAATTCTCAGATCAGACTGCGCATTGCAGGCTCTGATAGGCTCAAACTAGGCTCTGATAGGCTCAAAGTAGGAGTAAGAAAAAAGTAGATGCTACTTCGACGCTGCTATACGTCCGAAATTTCCTTTTTTCCTGTAAAGTAGGGTTTAAATTTTGACTCGGGATATTACGCGTAAAGAAAAAGTGCTCTCTCGAGTTTTTTCCTCTTAATTAATTCAAAATTTCTCTCTTTCACGTTAAATTATTTTCCACCTTACTGTGGTGTGAATCACAAAATATCGTTTTTTCCCTTAAAACTTGGGGAATAATTTACCATCAAAGTTCATCATTAATAAAAAATGGAAACCGTGTTGTAACGCCGTGTTGCATATGACACATGTTTCGTTATTATTACTGACGCGATAAGTAGCAAAATCGCGATAAACGCAAAACTAGATTCAATCCGAGATCTGTGACGATCGATCAATTCAATTCAATTTCAACTTCGTATTTGCTTCTTCGCGCTACTCGTAATTGAGTGATTCGCGGGTTCTCTCACGAACGGATTATCGGCCTCAATGTAGGCCCGTCGAAGACGTTGAACGCGTCGACTACAAAGAAGATTACGCCGAGATGTGGCCATCGCGCTTGGTCACGCGATTGATCTTACGTAAATACGGGACACCTACTGTGATCTCTCACGGAGATAACAAAAGAAATGCGTGTAACGCGCATAATTTCTCACTGCGATATTTTCGGCAACTTTTCTTTTTTTTTTTTTTTTTTTTTTTTTTTTTTCAAACGTCGGTGGCGAGGTGAGACGAGATATCTCCGCCATTGCATATGCATTTCGAGATAAACCCCTTAACATTGCTGAATGCTTGGAATTCTTAATTTGATCGATCTTGACACCTTACGCGGTGGGTTTTGTATACATATACGTATAGGCGCGCGATGCGCGCTACCTATAAATATTATTACACGTCTGTTACAGCTCTCTTGACAGATTTAATGAATAAAAAATACTGTCCCTCTTTTTTTTGACTTTTCAAAAATATCCACTGAAACTAAAAAAATGTATTCTTCGTTTAAACTAATTAAACTTTAGATTGCGATTCTCGTTAAGAATATCTGATCGTCTACAAAGGATTCTTCTCTTGTGTTAAGAGAAGTATTTGACGCCATTGTAGATTTTGTTTTTTTTTTTTTTTTTTTTTTTTTTTTTTAACAAAGTGTGCAAAGTGTCTATATTCGAACGCGTCGGAAGTTTCTCGAACACATGTCGATGTGAATTGTTGTCATTTTTATTGTGATTGAGTTTTGTTTAATCTTCAACGCGCATCTATTTTTTGTCTAATAAAGGAAATGGTTAAAAAAAAAAAAAAATGAAAAGCGAGTGTGTTTCTCACTTTTGTTGAGTCTCAATTTCTGTCTCGCGGTTTCAGCCACGCTCGTTTTACTTGTAAGCATAAAAAAAAAAAAAGAAAGAAAAACTTCGCTCCGAGTCTTATCTCTTCCTGTACGTTGCTTCATAATTACAGCTAAGTGCTATCAAAGACGTCCACAAATGAGTAAACGGTGCACCACCCGCTGATAAGGTTATTTCAGTTAAGAAAGAAGCGCGCCGGTATTCGCTTAATGCGCTACGTCGCATACGCGCAAAGATACATCGTGAATAATATCGCTGACTCGCGATATAAATGCAAGCGCGGCCCGGGGTTTTTGCCTAAAGGGTTACCTGATCGTTACTCGCTTCGGCGTGCTGCTACTCGGCGGCGGCGGCGACGGCGGCAGCGTCGTGTCTGCGCGAGGCGATAAATAGCACCCAGTTTGCACCACAATGACGTCGGTCTCTTAAAAAACTAAACACTGGCAAAAGGAGTTCTCGAGAGAAGGAGTCGCATCTGTGCAACTTGGAAATGAGCAAATACGAGAATTAATTAACAACGGATCGAAATACAAAACAGAGTCGAACATCGAAAATAATAAGCTCGGAAGTTTCAGGACAATTTATCGATTTGAAGCAATTTTAGTCAGATATATCAGAGTGGAAAATTGGTTTTTTTTCATTTTTATTTTTAAAAAGGCGGTTTTCCCGAGTCAAAATTTAGCGTCTACATTGAACCTCAATTTTTGAAAAAAGGAAATTTCGGACGCGTACAGCAGCGTCAAAGTAGCATCTACTTTTTTCTTACTTTCACTTTGAGCCTATCAGAGCCTGCAATGCGCAGTCTGATCTGAGAATTGAACCCTACTTTAAAACTTTAGCAGGAAAAAAGGAAATTTCGGACGTACAGCAGCGTTAAAGTAGCATCTACTTTTTTTCTTACTTCTACTTTGAGCCTATCAAAACCTATTTTGAGCCTATCAGAGCCTGCAATGCGCAGCCTGATCTGAGAATTAAACCCTACTTTAAAACTTTAGAAGGAAAAAAGGAAATTTCGGACGTACAGCAGCGTCGAAGTAGCATCTACTTTTTTTCTTATTCCTACTTTGAGCCTATCGGAACCTATTTTGAGCCTATCAGAGCCTGCAATGCGCAGTCTGATCTGAGAA